TTAACATCATTAGTCATTTTTTGCAAGTATGTTATTTGCCCATATCTTCAATTTCTATTTGTATGCAGGGGTGATTTTGACTTGAACAATTTTGAAGATGGTGTTATATCCTCTGCTTTCATGGTTGGACTTCTTGTGGCATCTCCAATATTTGCCTCTTTGGCAAAGAGGTGATAAGCTCATTGCGATGCAAAAGTTCCCCCCCCCCCCCCCAAAAAAAAAAAAAATCCCACCCAAAAAAAAAACATATAAATCTACTTGGTGAAACTTCATCTACCATCGAAAAGGACTCCCTTGTATTCTATTAAGCACTTATGAGAGGTATTCCTCATGGTAAATCTTTTTAATTGTACATGATTTTGCGTTGTTCCCGGTCAAATGTTCTTTATATAAGAAGACTGCAATACTTTCACATTAGTTAATTATTTAATGGATAAATTATACTTACACCCTTTAAACTACCATATTTTTTATTTTATTCCCTCAACTATCAGATTTCTCATATTATATTCAAAACTAACATTTTTATTTCACATTTCCCAATCTAGAATGTCGGTTATTTTTTGGATAAAAATCACTGACATATTAAAGTAAAGTAAAAAAAATTACATAATTTAGAGGTTAAAATGAAATAATTTTTTATTAAATATGTAACAAATGTTAATAATGTGAGCATTGTGAAAGTAATCACATAATTAAGGGTATAATATGAGAAATCTAATAATTAAAGGGTTAAAGTAGATAGTTTAGGAAGTATAAGTATAATTTATCCCTCTTTAATCAAAACTTTATAATAAAGCCAAAAAGATCAAGGTGCCAAGGCTAACCAAATCCAAAAGGGGCAAAATAGTCACTTTGACCAAAACATTGGGTCAGTCAGCGTTGCCAGGGTCCAAGGGACTAGTAAAAGAATCTAAGTACTGTTTGGCACTTTTGAATGGAATAGGTCGTAGGAAATGGCAAAAAGGACTTTTTATTAATTGAATGAGCAGAAAAGTCTACGGCTCATTAGATTATTTTTATTTTTTTTTTATCGTGCCGTGAGGCTGTTATTTTGCTACGTGGAACCTTCTCATTGGTCCAATGTGGACCGTATTCCTGTTTTATTAATTTTTCAACTACCCAACCCCATTTAAGGCGCCAAGCATCTGTTACGTTCACACCTAATCTATCCGATCCGCTGCCTAAATTTGGTTGATTCTGAAATTTTCTGATGGATTTAGTGTTTGACTGTGATATCTGACTTGTTCAATGGACGACATAGTACCAACAAGGTTAGAGTTCATATGATTTAACATTATCTATTAATAATCTTAGGTTTGATTGTCAGCCTAAGATTAGAGTTCATTGTGCCAATAAGGTTTGCTAGTGAATAATAATTATTGTTATGTATGATTGTGAATTGTGAATTTTAACCAAGTTCAAGTCAATGGTAGTCATTAAGCCTGAGAGAATAATCAGCACAAGTTCGGAGACCTTGTAGTAAAAAAAAAATATTTATTCATATTATATAAAATAGATAAAAAAAATTATGAGTATTAACAATTGTTATTAAGGGTATCAAAATATGATACATTTTGTTAATAAATAAATTAGGTATGCATAAAATCAATTAAAATAAATACATGATATAACTCAAAATATGACATTACTCGTTAATACGATATGAAATTAGAGGGTTTGAATTTTTTTTTAAGTCACTCATTTTATAAATGAGAGGACCTGACACGGCATGATTAATAAATAAATTAAGTATAAGTAAAATCAATCAAAAAAAATACACGACACAACTTATTTATATATCAATAATACATGATTGATATACAACATGAATCTAATATGACACGACTGCACAAATTAATAAAACAAATTGAATATGTGTAGAACATTTTTTTTTATAGAAACTCGTTAAAATCCGCCATAAATCTACCTAATCTGACAGACTTGACCGACTTAACTGTACGTATTAAAATTTTGACTTCACATGTGATAAGCGCGTATTGAAAAGAACTCCAAATATTGGTAAATTATTCATTCTATTGCAACAACACATTGCTCAACTAATGCATTAATTGGGACTTCCAAGCTTTTTGTTTGGGTAAAATCATGGGAAACTTCAATTGAATTCATGGGCTGCATTAGAAAAAATGGAGGATTGTGTACTCTTCTAGAGGTTCAATTCAAATAAAGCTGCCATGATGTAGTTCACTGGACCAGCTAGTCTTTGTCTGCAGTTAGAGTGAGATCCAAGGCCTCTACCCCATGAAGTGGAAAATTCAGTGAAGTTGACCTATTTACCTAAGACGATTCCAAAGCTCTCTCTCTCTCTCTCTCTCTCTCTCACACACACACACATGTTTTGATTTCGTATTATGTTTTAAGCATCTTCTATTTTCTTGTGTGGAATGAACCTCTGAAATTAACCTCAACCTGGTTTCTTTGCATACAACAGGAAACCCACAAGAAAATGCAGAAGATAATAATAACAAGCATGGCATCTACATTAATTATTTCAACTACGTATTGTTCTCCCACAACAGACAAATTATCCAGTAGTAGCAACCCTTTGAACGCGTTCTTGGAACAAACAAGTCAAAATATGTAACTGTGTACATACAACTTTGAGAAACAAGAGCCTGTGCCCCAGTTGATCAGCATCTGCATTTTACGTTCTCACACAATCACTTTTTTTGTAACAGAATTTTTCCAACCAAGTGCTATTTAGGTTCATACGTCGTAATTTCCTCCATAGTTTTCCCATTTTTCTTGCCATTTCTTCTTTTTTATCTTTATTGATTTATATACTCGTCATCATCCCACCGCTCCTACCAACCCACCCTTGCTTATTTATGAGGAAAAAATGTTATAAAGAATCAACCCTTTGAATAAGAGAGACTTTCCCCATAGAAAGATTTCCATGCTGACAGAAATCCCAATTCTGTGTATCCGGTTAAGCAAGCCGCCGCCAGCTTCCACCCAGACAAATCACCCACAAACCCTAATGCAACTAGAAGGACTTAAACTCAAGGTTTAGGCTTTGATCACTGGAGTTTACACAAACTAACTTTGTGTATAATCCTGTATTTCCTTTTGAGACACCACCATCCATAGGATGGGTCCACAGAGTAAATGGGCCAGGGTAACCCCTTTTCATCCTACTAGTTATTCTTCAGCGGTGAAGCTTGATCCAGTCCACCCATCAATTATCAACACGAGTGAGGCTTATGTCCATGAATTAAACTTGGCCACAGTGGTTCTTCCTTTCTCACCTCCTCTATGCCAATCCAACACTATCAACCGCACTATCTAAATACCCACTAAATCTACATAGTATTCTATAACCGATTGGTGACAACAAGTGTCATTATATTCACTATTTTATCCCAGAACTGGGGATTAGACCCCATTGTAACATCCACAAAACAGAACAAGAAAAACGGAAGAAAAACAGAGCACCAGAGGATGATGCACTGATTACAAATTTATACTAACAGACTTATAAATCACTGATAATTGGTTAAGCTTCGAAAGAGGATTACTATTAACAATTGAGAGTAAAACAGTAGTATTTATAACTCAGAACCTCTTCGTAAAGGTATACAGAACAAGGATTATAACCCACTGCAACATCAACAAAACAGATAGCAAGAAAAAGGGGGAAAAGTTGAAAACAAGGAAAGCAGCAAAGGATTATTTACGTAGTACAAGTTTATGTGAAGAGACTCAATGTGGATCATGAAATCTGACCGGAGTCGTCAATCACAACAGGCTTCGAGGTGCTTCCAGACGAAGACCCAACCTTCTCAATAGCCTTCACCACATCCATTCCCTCCACGATCCGTCCAAACACCACATGCTTTCCATCAAGCCACTCGGTCTTCGCCGTGCAAATGAAGAACTGCGATCCATTCGTATTCGGACCCGCGTCCGCCATCGATAAAATCCCTGGACCAGTATGCTTCTTAATGAAGTTCTCGTCAGCGAATTTTGATACCAGTGAAGTCTCCGCCCTGGCACATGAAATTTGGGATGACACGGTGGAAACTCGAACCTTTGTAGTGCAAAGGCTTGCGACTCCGGCCAATTCCTTTCTCGCCGGTGCAGAGAGTTCGGAAATTCTCCGCCGTCCGCAGCGTCGTGTCAGCGAATAGCTCCATCACGATTCGACCGGCCGGTTGACCGCCAATCGTCATGTCGAAGAACACCCTAGGGTTTGCCATTTTCACGATAAAATAGTCTCTCTTTCTCTCTCACTGATCAGTGCGCTGGAAGTATATTTTCAGGCGAAGTGGATTTTTATAAGATCGGCGCTTGAGGGATATCTTTCTCGGTTGCATCACGACCGTCGACGTTTGATACGTGTCGTGCAAATGTAGTGGGGGACTAGAAAGTGTTAGCTTATCTGCTCTCCACGTCCATTTGCGAATGTCTTTTGTTAAGGTGATAGGCTCCACCGAGATGACGTGTTGGTGCAGGCGGTTCGGATTATTTTAAACCTAATTTAACACCAAAAAAATTTTATTTTTATTCTGTTTATATATATATATATTAACCTGACTATTTTCTAATATGAATTATTAACGAAATATAATATTGAAGCTAAAACTATTAATATAGTTTTTTATTAATAAGTTGATTAACTAACGGGTCTTTGTCTTGCAAAAATTTTCTTTTTTTGTGATCAATGATTCAAGTTTTCTGGTTGGTTGGTAGGACGAATCTCAGTTAGTTAGACTAATCATATTCAAGTCCCTAGAGTGAGTTTGAATTCCCATCGAAATACAAATCTTAATTTAACTATTATATGAATTGATGAACCGGTTTATGCACCAGGAGGTACCTTCAATTTTACTCGGACTTTCGAACCTGAGTAATATAAGTGTGTCTCTACTCGTTGAGAATAGAAATTTTCTCCGCTACTAAAAAAAAAAAATTGAATTGATTAAATAAACTCTTTTAGTATAAACCCAAGTATATACATCGCAAATAAAAAAATCAAGTATAATCAAATATAAAGCGAATTTCTACTCGTGGAAGCATAGTTTTAAAATTCGGCCTGGACATCAATCCGGTAAAGGGACCGGGTCAATGGATCACTGGTTCAACCGGTAATATAATAAAAAATTAAAAAATAATTATAAATAGGCTAAAAAATCACAATAATTATAAAAATAACATCAAATATATAAAATTTAGTAGAGAAAAATTATCAAACATGTATCTAATTTCAATGTATTCAATTTTCAATACAACTTGTAAAGTTAAGTAGAGAAAAATACCTCTATTGAAGTTCAAAGCTCCAAGTCTAAATCAAACTGTAGTAAACAAGCTGCAAGACACATGAAAACAAAACAAAGCACATGAGCATAGCATAAAAACTCAAATAAACGAAACTGAAAATAAATTATCCAACAATTACTTAGTTTCACTTGAAAATGCAAATATTACCATTATTATCAATTAACCAATCTACAACCCAATTATATATAATGATTAATAAAAATCACAAACAAGTCACAAGTTCAATATCACAATTCATAATGCTCTTACTGCAATAAACAATCCACAAGTTCACAATCTTAAACAAACATAAAACACACAAATGAAAAGTACAATACCACAATCCATAAGTTACAAATACAAAATCCCAAATATGAAATAACAATGTTCACAAAAGTAAAAGCCCGTCATGAAAATAATGTAATAGACATATCTATTCATTCTCATTTTTCCAACGAGCGCTCCTACTCCACGAACCCCAATCCCTGCCAAACTCAAGAGGATTCTCAACTCCGGGACAATTGAAATTTTCAGCATTACTTGTAGTTGCATTGCCAACACCTTCCTCATTACACTCCTCATTTCGAGGGTATACAAGATCATCATCATCATCATCCAAGTCAAAAACCAAAGTTTCATCTACATTATATCCAAACAAACATTATTTATTGACTAATTAAAAACTAATTTGAAATAAATAATTGAGAAGGAATAAATTACCATTATTCGGGTTTGTTTGGATATTGCACGCAACTAGTTCACGGCAAAAATTTCTAATTCATCCACTGTTAAAGTTGGAGGCTCATCCTCTAAAATCTATGAGGCATTATTTGTGAAATCTTCAAAGTCAATAGGATCATAATTTCTACTCCTCAAGTAATTCCTACACATTATCATTTACAAGGTGAAAATTACACACGTAAATAAACTGACCATAATTGTAGTAAAATGCTAATAAAAATTATGTACCTTTGTTGCAATCTGTAATTGTAGTAAACATAAACAAGGTCATTAAGCCTTTGATGCTCCAACCTATTTCTTTTCTTAGAATGGATGTGTTTAAATACACTCCAATTTCATTCACAACTGAAAAAATTGCATGTTTGGCTTAAGACACGAATGACTAATTTTTGTAAGTTTGGCGCGCTACTTCCATAGCACAACCACCACTCATCTGCATTTAATAATGTAATGCATCATAATCAATTGTTAAAAAAAAAAGTGAAGTATATAACTTGAATTAGGATACTAAATATTTTCAATACCGGGAAGCATTCTCTCTCTATCGCTTATAGTAGTTACTCGCCCAAAGTCGCCTTTTGCATTTCTGAACAATTTCATCTCATTTGTCAACTTACTACTCAAAATAGGATTTCCATAAGCATATCTCTCAATTACATCCAAGAGCCCTGAAATTGTTTGTCAATGATTTGTCATCTCATCCGACTTATATTGATTACTTGGGTTCAACCAATAACCAGTAGCATGAAGATTTCTATGAAGTTGACGATCCCAACGACTATCAATGATTCTCAAGTAAACATTAACTCTTTTTCTCTTTCTCTGAAATCTTTTCAGCAACTCCTCCCTAGCTTTATGCATAGCCATATACAAGTAACTCATTGAAGGCCTATCATCACTATCAACAAGGCGTAGCACGCGCACAAGAGGCTCTGTGAGTTAGACAATAATAGCACATTCTTTCCAAAAATTAGAATCCAACACATTGTCAACGAATTTTTTTTCCCTTGCTATCCTTCGCATATGCTGACATAATCCATTTCCTTGATACCACCATAGCTCGTAAGACATCCTTTTGAGCTAAAATACTTTGCAATGCAATGAAATTGGTTGCAAAACGTATAGGAGCAGGACAAAGTATTTCTCTTCCACCGGTGTGTTTCCTCATCAAATGTAATGGAAAACAATGATTGTATACATATTTTGTAATCTTTGAAGCCTGAGAGACAACATGATTTACCTCATCCAACTTGTCAATGTCTTGTGGTATCAAATTCAAACAATGAGCTGCACATGGTGACCAAGATATTATGCGAAACTCCTGCTCCAATAACCTCCCAGCAGCAACATAATTGACAGCATTGTTTGTCACTATATGCACCATATTTTCTACACCAACTTGTAACACAACTTCCTTAAATAACTTATATAGCATATATGCTGTCTTAAAAGCATCGGAAGCATCAACAGACTTTAAAAACACCATTCCTCTAGGGCAATAAACCAAGAAATTTATTAATGTTCTCCTACATTAATCTGTCCACCCATCAGCCATGATAGTACAACCAGTCTCTTTCCATGTGGTTTGAAAACTATGGACAAAATTTTTTACTTCTTCAACATTCTTGTTCAACAAATAACCACGCAAGTCATGAAGGTTAGGGCCCTTATAACCACCACCAAAACCAGTAATTGCATCTAAAATAGGCTGATAATACATAGAATTCACAGCATTAAAGGGAATGCAAGCATCCATTATCCATTTGAAAACCGCAAGATTACACCTCTCATTTGTCTCCTTACTTTGCAAAACACTTTTGATAGTAGGCTGAGAACCGGGGGTAGTCGTTGGTACAAAGTAAGAGTCAATTGTTTTACCTTTTCTTCCTGCATCCTTGTTATGTATTGATTTACCATGACCTCCACCAATGAAAATTCCTTTTGCTTTATAAGAAGGTGAAATTTCTTGAACATCATCATTTTCTTGCATATATTCATGCTCTTCATAATTTCGAAACTCTGGTCTATATGGATTCATTTCATCATAATGTTGTTGTGTCTTTCTTTTCTTGGTCACAGTATTTTTCAGAACCAATCTCATCTCATAACTAACATTGGGAGGGCATCTAGTACATTATTCTACTTCTCTTTTAATCCCCGTCAAATGTTGTTTGAATCTATTGATACCACCTCCCTTAATTACCTTGTGGCAATACATACAAATCAAATTCTTTCCTTTTTTTGAAGACACAGAGTCTTTCCGACAATGTGCCCATGCGGGGTAGAGCTAGTTGGTGTTAGGCTAGTTGGTGTAGATTGAGATTCAATTGGTCTTCCGGATGATGACATTCTAATATAACACCGAAAATCAAAAAGTTACAAGTAATTAAACTCCACAACACAACATATGACATAGAATAGAAGTGATAGAACACTCGTGTACTTAAATAATTTATAACTTGTAAATTGTAGAAATCTCACTTTAGTGATAAATATTAAGTATAAAAGTTGGAGTTGAATTTAAAGTAGGGACAAGAGCTACACTCATAATTGGGACAACATTTTACTTAGTTGAGTTGTGCTCACAAAGTCCATAACTTTCACAATTCTCTTGGACAAAGCTAAAAGAAAAGAGGCTATTTTGACGGGAAACATTTCCATAAAAGTTCCCAACTAAAACTAGTCCAATGATCACAGGTTTCACAACCATTATAATACATAAAAAAAATGAAATTACTATATATAGTATATACCTTATTCTGTAATAGTGTAATGCAAAACATAAAACTCATCGACTCCTCTACAAAATCATAAACACATGAACAACATGAACATCCTTCATTCCATTGATCAAAAAATCTAATTGCAAAATAAAAAACCCAAATTACAAGCTTGTATATACAAATTGAGGAATTAGACCTAAAAAATGTATTCAAGAAATTGAATATAAAGTTATAAATCCTGTTAAACACATCCCATTACATTAAAAATACACCCCCAAACAACTTTATTATCCACATTCTTAGTGGACTCAAGCCTCAATCAATAAACGTAAGCCAAAGAATAACATGCGCAGAAATTAGTATTATTCTAAAACGCACTACCCAACATTATTATTATCAGACAAAGAACTCTGCATAAACAACAAAGCCACAGAAGGATTGAAAATGTCATTAATATTTTCAAAATCTAAGATGTCCCGATAATACTGTGTGTTCATTAAATTGAACAGAGAAGAGAAAAAGATGATGGAGAGAGGTTGAAGATGAGATGCTCACCGGAGTGGACTGGCTGATCGCTAGCTCTGGCTGGCTGGGCTGATCGTTTACGCCTGGAGCTTAGAGGGGAGGCTGGAGCTTGGAGAGAAGATTGTGGATCTGATTTGTTGGTGGCGTGGTGGAGGGGAGGCTGGAGCTTGGAGGGCTGGAATGGAACGATTGATTTAGGGCAGCAAAAGGGGAAAAAATAAATGAGGAAGGTAAAAAATCTGATATTTATAAAATTTAAATATAACCATCTGATTTTTGTAAACTCGACCGGTTCTCACGGTTCACCGATTTTTTTGACCGATTTCACTGGTTAACCCCGGGTTTTGTATAGAAATAATTTTTAATTTAAATCGACCTGGTTAGGAGATCGGTTCATCGAATTGACCCGCCGGGCCATGCCGGGCTTTAAAACACTGCGTGTAAGACAAATCAAAAATTTTTCTATCATAAAAAAATAGTTGTCTTGTCCCAATTTGATTGGGCAGATGCGGGGCCAAGGCTAGAAAGCTACAAACTTGTCCATGGCAATGAACGTAGTTTGGCCATTTGGAATGGTGGTGATAGAGACGTGACTCTGAGCTTCTCCGTTCGTATTTGTAAATATCTGCTAGCATAGCAACGCACTTGATTCCCTGCAACTCTTGAAAAAATTTATACTTAAATTTTAAGTTCTCATATGTATGTACGGGCCTTAAGAGCCTCAATCAATTCGGGTACTTTGTCTTGCATCTGGTATTTTGAGGGATATTGAGTTAGGTGGGATTTTGATATTTGATAACACGGGCTGAAATATATGGGCTATGACCTATAGTTCAAAAAAAAAAGTGATTCGTTCCGTTGAAGAGTAAAAATAGTTCACCATCTAACAGAGACTATTGCTCAGGTGACATGAATTACTTAAGGAAGATGAAGATATACAATAAAGGTATTTTTAGAGGCAATGTATTGGCTTTATTACACTGTGTCATTGTTTTATTAACAGGATTGTCAGATAAATTTAGGGATATTTGGCCGTTGAAAGGCTTTTTGCCCAAGGTATGATGTAAGCTTTATGATAAAATTCTCCCTTTGCTCCATTCTTTTAGTTTCCATGCTGAAGATCAATTCTAAAAGATGTTGTGAAAATTAGACGTGACGTACAAAAATTTATTTTAATTATTACTTGGATCGGAACAAATATTTAAATTAAAATTTTAATATAAATTGAAAAAAAAAAAGAAGTCAAATAACCCAAGTAAATTCTAATTGTTTAAATTGAACATAAATAAAAAAAAATTAATTCAAATGTGACCCATTGACAAAGCTAACCTCCAAAGCCATAAAAAAGTGTTGGGCTGAATCACAACCGGGCCTCTTACCACCAAGAAAACGAAAAGCTGCTGAAACACAGAAGCCGAAGGTGTGTTTTTTTTTTTTTGAAAAATACTAGACTAAAAAAATTTAACATAATTTATTGATCTGATGACGTGATTTCATTGAAATTATTGATTAACATCAAGTTCTAATGTTTGATGGAACCCACAATCAATCCAAAGGTCATAATAAATTAGGTCCTAATAGCATTGCTCTTTTATTTTTTATTTTTTTTTCCCTATCAGTTAAGAATGTTGTTAAGTGTTAAGAGATGAGACAAACGACGATTTCACACTAATAAAAAATGATCAACGCCTTTTTGACATCTAACCTTTCATTTTTTATTCAAATGCCCAAATAGATTACATTAATTAATTTATTTTAGGGCTAATTTCACTTTACATCTAAAAGATTTAAGAATTTCTATTTTTGCACGTTCAATGATTGAATTTTTTAATTGTACTTTCAATGTATTAAAAGTATTACAATGTGATCTTTCTATTAATTTTTGCTAGGGTTACTAATTGAATTAAGCTACTCAGACTCAGCTCAGATTTGACTCATTTTAGGATCGACTTGTTTGAATAATTTTTTAAATTTGTTTAGAAAAATAAATTCGACAGACTCGATTTGTTTATATGTAAATACTAGAGCTCGGTTTTGGTTCAGTTCATTTTAGACTCGATTCAGGTTTAACTCGTTTTCTAAATAAGTTTAGACTCGTTTGGAAAACAAACTCGATAAAATCAACTTGATTATCAGTCCTAACTTTCGTTGCTCATTATGTCTACATGAATGGGATAGTTTTTGACAAAATAAACAAAAAAAATTAATGAAAGACCACGTTTAAGGACCATTTTTAATACTTTTAGGGTATAATATGAAAATTTTAATAGTTGAGGGTATAAATAAAAATTCTTAAATTTTTTTTATCATACAAAATGGGTTTCCCTCTTTATTTTAATTAATGAGTTCACGGTTTGCTTTGGAATCATGATGATCACAATTTCGCACAGCCAAAGCCGGCAGCTACTACCTTCTAAAAGCCGGCTTTCCTTCTTCTTAAAAATCATTCTCTTTTTAGTTTGTACATTTTCTCTCTCCAGTCTCCAGGATTGGTGATTGATCATGTCAGTGATTGATCTTATCAATGATACTTCTGTTTATTTTTTGCAGAGAAGGCATGTAGTATCAAATCAGCTTTCAGAATTGCGTGCGTTGAAAGTTTCTTCAGAAAGGTTGTGTGAAATTTTTGAGAACTTCTGAAACTTTTCTTCCATCAATTTCTGGGGATTCTGAGTACCTTGCATCAGAGATTACTTACTTCTCTCTCACTTACAGAAAAAAAAGTACTACTCTCTCTCTCTGTTGCGTAAACAATCTATGCACTCCTCTATTGTCTTTTAAATTTTTGTCTGTTTGATCGTTGTACAGCTTATGTTCGATATGTTTCTTGGTTCTCCCCTATTGTGTTTGATATATTTTCTTTATTAGCTTGATTTGTGGATTAAGTTAAGCTCGACACTTGAAGTTCAGTAGTTGATGAGGTATTAAACTAGTTTTGGTGATTCCACTTGGTGGAATTCATAGCTAAATTACATATGCGATTTGCCAGGAATTATTATTCAAATCCAGACAATGAAATTTTGAACAATCCAGACAGTGAAATTTCGATCACAATTGGAAATTCCTTTGTGTCTTCACAAAGATGGCTGGAAACTATAGGTTTGCGATGGACCAGAAAGATATTGTTAGATTCTTAATCACCACAGTTGGAAGTTTCATTCAAGATCGATTAATCGATAAAGATCAGAGAACGCAGCAAAAGGAACAATGCGCAGAGAGATTAGCAGCTGAAGACGGAAGTTCTGACAAAGACAGAGAAGTTCGATACTCCGATCAAGCAGTGTTAGCGAATTTAGATTGGGGAATTGATGCTCTTGAAGAGGCAATCAACACGTCCAATTTGGAAACTAAGCTAGCACGGTTAGACTACGCAGAAAAAATGTTGCAAGTGTGTGCTATGTTGAATTCTAGCCAGAAAACCGCAGGAGTCCCCAATTTCTATCTCTCTGCTTGGGCTCATCTCAACCTTTCATACCTTTGGAAATTGCGGAACAATGGCCAAAATGCAGTTCTTCATGTTCTAGAGATGTTTATTGTTGACCCTTTCTTCTCGCGAATCGATTTTGCTCCTGAGCTTTGGAAAGATTTGTTTCTTCCACATATGAGCTCAATTGTTGGGTGGTATTCAGAAGAGAGACATGGGATTGTTATGGATTCAATTCCTGATTCTAGTGATTTGTCCTTCACCGTTGATTTCGATCAATACTTCAATGAGTCTTTGATCTTTTCTTTGAGGCCGGATCAGGCGGAAAAAATGCAGAGTTTGGAGCAGTTATATGGGCAATCCTTGGATGAGAATACGAGGCTTTATGCAAAATACTATAAGGACTGTATGAACAATGATTCTACCACTAGCAAGAAGGTGATTCCAATGATGCCAATTGTAGAGCCACCAATGACTCCTTTGCATGAGGTGAGCCGGTCGATTCCCGAGTACGTAAAATTTGGTCCCATCTTGCCTAAAAGTGCTGGATTTTCTCCAGTTCTGAGAGCTAAAGAAACTGCTAGAGGACCTTCCAGGTTAGTTGCCGTCTATTTTTCCTTTTAGTAGTGGAGAGATTTTTGTACCTTGATGCCTTAATTACTTCTTTTATTTATGTTTCTGTGAGACTCCATTTGTTGGAAGCCATGAATGACATATAATATTCTATTTATGTTGTTCACAGATTGAATTCGAGTTCCACTTACTCAGGAAATCTAGAGGATTCGGCCATATGGGATCTTCATGTAAGAGCCTCTAAAAACTATTGTGTCCGCAATCCCATCATCAAGTGACAAGTTTATTAAATTATGTAATTTCTATTCTTGGTTCTCATTGCCAGGAGGCAATTCCTGAGGAGAACGAGGAGAATGAAGATGATTCAGATTATGAACCTGATGCAAACATGGAATCTAAAGATACAGCTCATAAATTAGTATCTCATAACAGCATCGGAATGAACAAGGACACTGAAACTGAGCCAGAGGTACATCAAATAGAGGTGATGAGTCGAAAAAATTCTCCTAAAATTTTCTCTCCAGTGGATTCTCCAAATAGTCCTTCCAAGAAGGTGTCATCTCCAAAACCTGAAATGCTTTGTAAAAAGGAACATACGTCTGTGCTGCGACTGTTATCCAGTCGAAACATAGATTTCAAAGTTTCTGCCTCTTTGCCTGATTCTCCACTTCTCTGTCGCGAATCCAGCAGTAGCTTGAAAGACTCGGATGGTGAAATGAGAGTACGTTTTAGATCAATAATTTACATTAAACCGGGTTTTTTATTGTTCATTCATGTCATGCAAGCTTGAGTTTGGGTTTGAACTGACAGTATTAGACTATCAGGAGCAGCAGAAAATTGTAAGGAGAAAAAGTCACATGCGGAGTGTTAGCGAAGTAATAGGAAATAGGTATGTTCTTATTCTGATTACCTTTTTTAATCTTTTCCCTTCGTTGATTTATATCTGAAGTTTATAAAGTACGTTCCCTATCATCCTTTACCTTGTTGCACTGACCGACAATTCTTCAAATAAGTTGTATGGAGGAAGGTTGACCCTTTTCCTTCACTAAATTCAAATTCTTTGTTGCAGTTTCCTCACTGACAATGATGAAGGAAGCCAGAGTTATATTTCTCTCCCTTCACCTGGGAAGTTGGCCCCTCAATCTAGACCACCTAAAGATTTTGTCTGCCCCATAACTGGCCAGATTTTTTGTGACCCGGTAACCCTTGAAACGGGGCAGACATATGAAAGAAAAGCCATTCAAGAATGGATGAAAAGAGGGAACACAACATGCCCCATCACCAGGCAGCCACTCTCTGCATCTGCACTGCCCAAAACAAACTATGTTCTGAAGAGACTAATTGCCTCTTGGAAAGAACAGCATCCTGATATTTCCCAGGAAATGTCATATTCTGAAACACCAAGTAGTTCAGTCAGCACCCCTTCTTCAAAAGACATTCCATCAGATTCCACCCCTTCAAGGACATTTAATCTTTCCAATAACAGGAGCAGGGATGACTACGCTAATCATAGGAGCAGGGATGACTATATTAACCAAAAACCCAGAAGGTTTAGACTGGCTGCAGTGTCAACGTCACCAACAAGTGTGATATCTCAAGCTGCTGTTGAAACAATTATTAATGGGTTAAAACCTTATGTTTCATGTCTCTGTACTTCAGAGGACTTGCAAGAATGTGAAGCGGCTGTGTTGACAATAGCCAGGATATGGAAGGACTCAAAGGCTGATTCGGGGGTACATTCCTATTTATCGACACCCACAATAGTAAACGGCTTTGTGGAAATACTCTCAGCTTCTTTGAATAGGGAAGTTCTCAGAACATCAATTTATATCCTATCAGAGCTCTTATTTGCAGATGACAGTGTTGGAGAGATTCTTACGAGTGTAGATTCTGATTTTGATTGTCTAGCTATCCTACTGAGAAATGGTCTTGCTGATACTGCTGTTCTTATATACCTGCTGAAACCAGCGTTCTCTCAGTTATCTGCTCACAACTTTATACCCTCACTTGTCCAAATTATTTCAAACAAAAGTGAAGATTCAAATGATCTTGAGCTAGTCATGGATCCCAAGGATGCTGCAATAGCATTGCTTGAGCATATTTTGTTGGGAGGAGATGAGAACACCAGGTTTCATAATGCTATGAGCGTCATATCTGGAAATGGTATTCCTTCCTTACTTAAGTGCCTGGACAGGGTAGATGTAAGGCAATCCGTCATATCCATACTGGCATGCTGTATCCAGGCAGATAGGAGCTGCAGGAACTTAATAGCGAGCAGAATTGAATTGTCTCCTGTTCTTGAATTATTTCATGCTGGAAGTGATAATGCGAGAGGCATATGCATAGAATTTCTCTCTGAGTTAGTTCAATTGAACAGGTATTGTCGTTCTTCTCTCCACTTTGAGATTCTATTTCCATTTTTGTTTGATGGGAAATCCTTATTCGCTTATCTAGTTTTTTTTATTAAATCATTTGTATGAAGTAATACCCAGGTACTGTTAATTAGGAATCTTAGAACCATTGGTTTTAAAGCAAATTATACTTGTTCATTGTGTCACTCCCTTAAAAATAGTCAACACATCACGATGCCCCCACTACCATTACTTCTACAAGCTACTTGCTTTCCTTCTCAGAAATTCTATCATAAACTTCAACCAGATGGTTCTGAACCAACTTCTTGTCATTCCAAAAATCAGCTAGTTCAATGACATCAGCTTCTTTTACCTTCACCATGTGATTCAGATTCTGTAGTCTTTACAATCACAGCATCTTCAAACCATTAGTGTTACCAAGTGTGTGGAAGATGTATCCAAACTGCTTTGGAGTCCGAAGTCCTAATCTGAACCTAGTTTAACTTTTTAAACCCTTTTAAGTTATCTGTTATTTATTCCTAAGCTTGCTAAGTAAGAAACTGTATGCTTAGCAATTTGGAATGGCACTAAGTAACTTACTGCCTATAGTTGGTTTAGTGATAATCCATGTCTTTATTGTGAATTATATTAGTTACCTCAATTTAACTCTTAAATCAGTTCGTTTGACATCAAATTTTTGGAGAATTGATCTTTACTTCAAGCCAAAATCCTTGCACAGAACAGGATAACTGGAGGTCGTGAACTGGTTCTGTATGTCTTAAATTTACCCTCTCACCTTTTAACTCTTAAATCAGTTCATTTGACTTCAAATTTTAGCCACTGATCTTTCTTCAAGCCAAAATTTTTTAGCACAGAGCAGGTAAATTGAATTTTTTTTAATCTAATATCTGTGAACTAGTTCTGTATGTCTTCCAGTTAGCCTCTCTCACATTTATAATTTGGAAATTCCTGAAACAATCTTAATCCACCCCTATCCTCTTTATACTCCTAGTAACGTAGCTGATAGGTGTACTGTTCTTGCTGTATTTCAGGAGAACCTTATGCACCCAGATTTTGCAGATTATTAAAGATGAAGGAGCATTTAGTACCATGCACACCCTTCTCGTCTATCTACAAATGGCTCCAATGGAGCAGCAACCTGCGATTGCAGCTCTTCTTCTTCAGCTTGATCTTCTGGTTTGCCTTGAAAACCTTAGTCAAACCCAATCATCGGAGACTCTACAAAAAGCGGATATTTCAATATAATCCACTAAATTATCTAGTCATAGAAGTTTATAACTTTTTGTTCTAATCTAGGTTTTTGGGTTGCGTAGGTTGAGCCTCGGAAGATGAGCATATACAGGGAAGAAGCAATAGAAGCATTAATGGAAGCACTTCAAAAAAAAGACTTCCCCAATTCTCAAATCATGGCTCTTGATGCCTTACAATCTCTTTCAGGACGTCTGACTGCCACAGGGAACTCCTACACTGAAGCTTGGTTACTCAAGATTGCAGGGTTTGATCAGCCTTACAATGCTTTGGTGAAAACTGAGAACCTAAAAACATTTGAAACTGATTTGACAGAAACAATGGTTTGCATTTATTTGGTTTTTGGGTTGTTTGATAGCTTGTTCAAATTGTATTCTCCTTTGTGCATATCTAACCTGAAAAGATTTGCATAGGAGGAAGAGAAAGCTGCAACTTCTTGGGAGAAAAGAGTAGCTTTTGTACTTTGCAACCATGAGAGTGGCGCCATTTTTAAAGCTTTGGGGAAGTGTCTTAAGAGTAATTCCTTGGAGATAGCAAAGTCTTGCCTTGTTATGGCCACATGGCTTATACATATGCTTTATAATCTTCCTGATACTGGGATAAGAGATGCTGCTCGTAAGTCCTTACTTGTCCAGTTCTTTAGTATACTACAATCATCGAAGAACCTTGAGGAGAAAATTCTGGCCACCCTTGCTTTAAGAAGCTTCATTACTGATCCTGGTAAAATTACTCTTAGCTAATGATGATTTACAAAAATTTACTTACAAGAGTTACTAACACCAATTTTCAACTTTTTAAGGCACACTTGATGAATTGGGCGTATATGCCAAATGCACGTACCCAATCTTTAGGAAGCTTAAGAAGAATTCTGTAGTGGTCAGTGATATATTGAAAGTCTTGATGAACTTGCCATCTGTCAATGCAGTGAGTTTTTGAACATGCACACCATCAATTTTCAAGCAATATAGAAAACTGAAAAATCAAATGGATCTAATATTCTCAATTTTCAGGCAGAGTTGTGGTGCTGCAATGAAGCTTTTGAGTTAGACTCAAGCATGAACGGCGAAGTTCTGTCTTTGCTCCATATGAAAGGTCGGGTCATAAGCTGCCACTCTGATGGAACCATAAAGGTATGAACCACACAAACACGAACATGCATAGACATGATGCACCTCTATGGACCTCACAAACATGAACATGCATACACATGATGCACCTCTATGTGCGTGCGTGTGCGTGTGTATGCTTGTTCATGTGAGTGTGCACGGGCCCTTCTCTCTATGTGCCTACTCACTTATACACAACATTTGGGTTTCCATGCTGGCTATTTGTGTTTTTCTTTACATTTTATATTGTCCTTCCTTTTGCATTTGCTAATTACCCCATCCGACAAGAGTTCCATATTCATCATGCACTTAGGTGTGGGATGCTGGCAAGAGGGTTCCACGGTTGATCCAGGAAGTTCGTGAACACACAAAGGCTGTTACGTGCCTTTCCATCTCATCATCACATGACAAACTATACAGTGGTTCCTTAGACAAAACAATTCGGGTAAGCTATATCACATTTCTACGATTCANAAAAGACTTCCCCAATTCTCAAATCATGGCTCTTGATGCCTTACAATCTCTTTCAGGACGTCTGACTGCCACAGGGAACTCCTACACTGAAGCTTGGTTACTCAAGATTGCAGGGTTTGATCAGCCTTACAATGCTTTGGTGAAAACTGAGAACCTAAAAACATTTGAAACTGATTTGACAGAAACAATGGTTTGCATTTATTTGGTTTTTGGGTTGTTTGATAGCTTGTTCAAATTGTATTCTCCTTTGTGCATATCTAACCTGAAAAGATTTGCATAGGAGGAAGAGAAAGCTGCAACTTCTTGGGAGAAAAGAGTAGCTTTTGTACTTTGCAACCATGAGAGTGGCGCCATTTTTAAAGCTTTGGGGAAGTGTCTTAAGAGTAATTCCTTGGAGATAGCAAAGTCTTGCCTTGTTATGGCCACATGGCTTATACATATGCTTTATAATCTTCCTGATACTGGGATAAGAGATGCTGCTCGTAAGTCCTTACTTGTCCAGTTCTTTAGTATACTACAATCATCGAAGAACCTTGAGGAGAAAATTCTGGCCACCCTTGCTTTAAGAAGCTTCATTACTGATCCTGGTAAAATTACTCTTAGCTAATGATGATTTACAAAAATTTACTTACAAGAGTTACTAACACCAATTTTCAACTTTTTAAGGCACACTTGATGAATTGGGCGTATATGCCAAATGCACGTACCCAATCTTTAGGAAGCTTAAGAAGAATTCTGTAGTGGTCAGTGATATATTGAAAGTCTTGATGAACTTGCCATCTGTCAATGCAGTGAGTTTTTGAACATGCACACCATCAATTTTCAAGCAATATAGAAAACTGAAAAATCAAATGGATCTAATATTCTCAATTTTCAGGCAGAGTTGTGGTGCTGCAATGAAGCTTTTGAGTTAGACTCAAGCATGAACGGCGAAGTTCTGTCTTTGCTCCATATGAAAGGTCGGGTCATAAGCTGCCACTCTGATGGAACCATAAAGGTATGAACCACACAAACACGAACATGCATAGACATGATGCACCTCTATGGACCTCACAAACATGAACATGCATACACATGATGCACCTCTATGTGCGTGCGTGTGCGTGTGTATGCTTGTTCATGTGAGTGTGCACGGGCCCTTCTCTCTATGTGCCTACTCACTTATACACAACATTTGGGTTTCCATGCTGGCTATTTGTGTTTTTCTTTACATTTTATATTGTCCTTCCTTTTGCATTTGCTAATTACCCCATCCGACAAGAGTTCCATATTCATCATGCACTTAGGTGTGGGATGCTGGCAAGAGGGTTCCACGGTTGATCCAGGAAGTTCGTGAACACACAAAGGCTGTTACGTGCCTTTCCATCTCATCATCACATGACAAACTATACAGTGGTTCCTTAGACAAAACAATTCGGGTAAGCTATATCACATTTCTACGATTCAGTTGGTTTAAAAAACATAAAAAATAAATGAATGCATTAAATTGAAAAAAAAAAAATGAAACACAAATGAGTGTCCTTCAATTCTAATTTTTGCTGTTACCAAATGCCATGGGAAGTGATAACACAATTTTCCAAAGACTTGTAGAGGATTATAGGAAGGGAAGATCACACAACTCTTGTTTGCTTCCTGTTCTTTGGTAAAGAGGCTAGGTACTGGTTTCAATCCTAGAGAATTTTCCAACTTACCTTGTTAAGTGGGTCATTGTTTGGTAGGCTAGGACGCCATCCTCCTCCTTGTCTAATTCATGTATTATATATATATATCGTTTTTTGGAATAAAATGTTTACCTTATTGAAGAAAAAGATAGCATCCAGATATAAATATTTCCATTTGTGCAGATGCTCCTTGACACCATTGTTCGTGAAATGAACTTATTTTCCTAAATTGCTAGGCAACTCTATAGGAATGACCTTAGCCTTGTACTACAGAAGCAAGTTTTTGTTACCAACTACATTAACATTTTTTCTTCATTTAGAATAAGCAACACTCACTGGTCTTTTCGCTAAACTAACAAGGTTTTACTGGTACTCCTTTTTATTATTGAGAAGAGAGTACTTGACATTCAGTTGATTCTCAAATAACTACAAAAATGATGCGATACGATACCTTGAGACTTGCACAATTCTCAAGAAGTCTAAGAAATGACGAGTGAAATAACTAACTGACTTGATCTAGTGGAGCCTAATTTATGATGATCTTTATACTTGTGTCTCAAAGAAATTGTCTAGGAAAAATAACAAGAAAATAAAAGGAAGACATTGGCTTGAATAGAGTGCTCTAGTGATGGAAGTGTTCAATTGATTTCTTGCCCAGTTATAGTTGGCCCATGCTAAACACTAGTGTTCATTTCTGCAGGTCTGGGCAATTAAACAAGAAGAAATCCACTGTGTTCAGGTTCATGATGTAAAAGTGGCAGTACATGAGTTGGCAGCCAATGCCAATGTAGCATGCTTTTCCTCTCAAGGAACTGGAGTTAATGTTAGCTCTTTTACCTTTCCTGTAAAACATGTGGTCCATACTTAAAAATTAAAATGTTTGCTGAACATCATATTGTTGCAGGTTTATAATTGGTCGGGGGTACCAAAGCATATTAACTTCAACAAGACTGTTAAATGTCTCGCAATGACAGGTGATAAACTCTATTGTGGTTGCACTGGTTACAGCATACTGGTAAGTTTTTTTCACAGCATTTTCAACAGATTCAGTTCATAATGTCCTGAACATCTACTTGATCGATATTTAACCAGCATTCTTTGTCTGCCTGGAAAACAATGGCAGGAGGTGGACTTGTGCAAATACACGTCTTCCATCTTCTATTCTGGTGCAAGAAAATTGTTGGGGAAACAGACTATACATTCTCTACATATTTACAGAGGTCTTCTCTTTGCTGGGGGTTCTTCAGTTGATGGGACTGCAGGCAAGGTATGAAGATTATTATTCTTGTCATTTGTCTGTAAAATTGACCAATTAGTTTGACAAATTAATCAACAAATTTGCATGTCGAAGGTGTTCACTCTCTCGTCCAAGGCTGTAGTAGGATCACTGTCAACTGCATTCGACATTCACTGCATTGCAGTTAACAATGACTTCATATTTACGGCCACAAAAGTTGGGATCATTGAGGTATGGCTAAAAGAAAGAGTCACAAGAGTTGCTTCCATCAAGATAGGTGGTCAAGGACTTGTAAAAATCACATCCTTGACATCGGATGCAGATGGAGAAATGCTCTTTGCCAGCTCCTCTGATGGCAAGATCCAGGTTAAAATTAGAACTCGTCTGGTTGACTATCCATTTTGTAATACTGAGATCTTAGTGATCACCAGTAATAGCTTCCTTATGGTTGTTGCAGGCTTGGAGATTGGATTGAAGAGTGTAGCATGAAGATCAGTGTGATCTGAGATTTTTCTATAAACAATGAATGTTTTCCTCGTTATTAGCCCTTAACTTGCCCACAAATTCATGGAATACCCGAAGAAAAAGAAAGTAATGATCACTCATGCTTGCTTACTTGAGTCTGGACTGTTCAATTCAACCTGTAGGTACGAAGTTATGTTGTGGTTAGAAATGCAAGCAACAGCCACTTTTGCTGATTCTGTACCAATAATGTTGTGTAGATCACCTGGTGCTTTTTGGATCCTAATCCTAGTTGTACAGAGGCAGTATTTGTGTTGAAGAAAAAGGTCTGTATAAAAGGATTCTGGATTCTCTAAATTTGGGTTGAAAAACTTGAAATTTAAGAGTGAATACCGATCCAGTTTGGACTATCAATCATGTCAATAGACGAGTTTGTGTTCAAAAATATTTTACTCATATCCAATTTATTTATTAATTCATATTTAACAAATCATGTTACATCAAAAATGTATTATAAATGACAAGAAATTCGTATTTGAATTTTTTCACTCTTGTACTTCCAGTCCTGCTCTATGTAATCTAACTCCAAATCAACCACACATGTTCATTATCTTTAAACCCAGACTAATGTGCTTTACAATCAGTGTATGTTGTTTTCCCAGCAAAGGGAAGCAAATCATCTCTTCATAAATCCACCATGGGGCTCCTTAAGCAATTGACCAAACGTCTGATAATGAAAACCAGCTGCCACTGCTGCCACTGTTTAAACAAGTTAACACTCTCCTCCAACTTTTTTTTTTTTTTTAAATTATTCGGCAATGTTCGTAACATTGATTGTTTTCTTAACCAAAGGGACTATGAACCAGGTGAAATGTTTCCTTCCGAGAAGTTCAGATAGGTTAATGAGAAATCTATCTAAATTCAACGGAAGAGGCCAAATTGATATAGGGTGCTGCATTCATCTCCAAGGCATTTCAGAGGTTGCCAAAGAGCCAAACTCCAGCCCCAGAACTCAAGTAGAAATTGTAAACAGTGTTGTAACAAGTACTAGTATTCGGGTCATGTTAGTATCAAGTAGCAGTGTTCGAATTGTGTTAGTTTGAATTCGTAAGTGCAAGTTGCCTTTAACTCTAACCCATGTAATGTCATATGGCCTAGGGGGTAAGCCTCCACAAACCACTATAGCATTCAGAAAGAAAAGGACTTTTGTAATATTTGTTCAATATTTCACTAGCACTCAGAATGAAAAGGACTTTTGTAATATTTGTTCAATATTTCAAAGATCTTTCGATCTCAATTGATAATGTATCATCCTCATCGTGCTAATTCTCAAACTTAGAGAAAATAGAAACATGTTCATGTTTTTCATCATTGGTTTTTTTTTTACCTTGTGAAACACACGACAAAGTTCGAACTCTCCACCTTAAACAACAGCAATACCCTCCAAAAGCAATACTTCACTTACAATTGAGCGTGTAGAAATAGAAACCTACCCAATTTCTACAATTAAAAATTGATCAAGAAACGGTAATCAAAATACAAATACCAGACAGAAAATCAATCAAAATCGGAGAAATTCGAGAAGAGAGGAAGCATTCAGAATGAGTAGGAGGTTTGGTATTCCTTCATGAAATAAATCGGAATACGATTAACTTTTTTCATCATTATGCTTACCCAATCATCGTATGAATATAACAAAACACGTATAAAAATACGTCAAAGATTAATAAGAAAAAGTAGAAAATTAATAGTACATAAATAGAAAACCATCAGAAAATCGGATTATTGAATCAGCGCCGACACCTTTCGAAGGTGTCTCAGACGACCGTCGTGAGAAATTTTAATCCAAAATCCTCATCTGGTTTCGAAAAATCTGAGGATAAGAAGCGAGAAAAACCAAGTGATAATAGACACAAACGCATACAAGATTGATGAACCAAACACAGACGCCCTGAATACCTTTGATTCAGCTGCCTATGGTTTCAATTGAATTGCTTGGAAGTGAGAAGGTAGACGAAGAAGAAGAATATTTAAAGGGATGCGGGAGTGTGCGGTAGGGTTTCTGAGATCCTTGTCTTGACAACTTTACCCTTCAAAAGGGCCCCACATTTATGTTAACGATTTTACTCTTCTGCTTCCCTATTTAGCCTCTCACATTGGCGAATAAATATAGAATGTAACGATAATATCATGTCACTATTGATGATATTGTATTATCAATTAATAATAAAATTTAAAATAAAAAAAATGAATCTCATTTAGGCTTACATGGTAGAAGACTAGGGAGTTATTTTCTTACATGACAGGTTAATTATTAATTTTTGTAGGATCGATCTGTTTATTTGTTTATTATTATTGGTCGGTGATACCACATCACCTTATCACGTGGTATCACTATTGTAATGAATATTTTCCCCTGATTGGGGAACTTCATTTTGTATGCCGAAATTTTGTTGTTTATCCCGTCAAAATTTATTCTATCTATTTATAAATATATAATCAAACAATATAATAAATTGCTTGTATGAGAAAAATTTCACTTAAAAAAAAATGACGCATCTAGCCAAATATGCATTGGTACCATTGACACTTTGACGAGACAGACGAAATAAGTAATTTATAGAAAATATTGACGAAATGAGTAACAAAACTTAACGAAAGCATCATATTATAATACTTTTAATTTAAGATAAATCTCATTTATACAAAAAAAATTTAATTTACTTATCTTGAATGATTAATTTTCTCATATTATCCATCAAAGAAATAAAAATATTACAATATAGTCCACTTTCTTATTTTTGTTTTTGTCATCTGTCTATTTTGTGATTTTTAATTAGTTAATTTGACACAAAATAGACAAACAACTAAACAAAAGTAAAATAGTACACCACATTACAACATTTTTAATTTTATGAGAAAATAATGTGAAAAAATTAAGTATTCACAGAATAAACTGAAAATTTTGTATCTTTCAAGAGTAAAATGAAAATTTTCTTTGAATTTATTAATGTTCTGTTTAGTAGGAATGATAATAAGTATGAGGGGATGAAAAATAAGAAGAATAGACTTTCTATCCTTCAATAAATAAAAGTAAAAATAATATATTTTTCTTCTTGTGTTTGGTATGATGGATAAAAAATAAAATTAAAAATAAAATTTTAATTTTTTTCTTAAAAAAATCGTAATTAATATACAATTATATTATCTATTGAAATAAAACTAAAAAAATCAAACAATGAGTCTAAGTCAATCATAATAGAACATGATTTTTACATCCANAATAATAAAATTTAAAATAAAAAAAATGAATCTCATTTAGGCTTACATGGTAGAAGACTAGGGAGTTATTTTCTTACATGACAGGTTAATTATTAATTTTTGTAGGATCGATCTGTTTATTTGTTTATTATTATTGGTCGGTGATACCACATCACCTTATCACGTGGTATCACTATTGTAATGAATATTTTCCCCTGATTGGGGAACTTCATTTTGTATGCCGAAATTTTGTTGTTTATCCCGTCAAAATTTATTCTATCTATTTATAAATATATAATCAAACAATATAATAAATTGCTTGTATGAGAAAAATTTCACTTAAAAAAAAATGACGCATCTAGCCAAATATGCATTGGTACCATTGACACTTTGACGAGACAGACGAAATAAGTAATTTATAGAAAATATTGACGAAATGAGTAACAAAACTTAACGAAAGCATCATATTATAATACTTTTAATTTAAGATAAATCTCATTTATACAAAAAAAATTTAATTTACTTATCTTGAATGATTAATTTTCTCATATTATCCATCAAAGAAATAAAAATATTACAATATAGTCCACTTTCTTATTTTTGTTTTTGTCATCTGTCTATTTTGTGATTTTTAATTAGTTAATTTGACACAAAATAGACAAACAACTAAACAAAAGTAAAATAGTACACCACATTACAACATTTTTAATTTTATGAGAAAATAATGTGAAAAAATTAAGTATTCACAGAATAAACTGAAAATTTTGTATCTTTCAAGAGTAAAATGAAAATTTTCTTTGAATTTATTAATGTTCTGTTTAGTAGGAATGATAATAAGTATGAGGGGATGAAAAATAAGAAGAATAGACTTTCTATCCTTCAATAAATAAAAGTAAAAATAATATATTTTTCTTCTTGTGTTTGGTATGATGGATAAAAAATAAAATTAAAAATAAAATTTTAATTTTTTTCTTAAAAAAATCGTAATTAATATACAATTATATTATCTATTGAAATAAAACTAAAAAAATCAAACAATGAGTCTAAGTCAATCATAATAGAACATGATTTTTACATCCAAAATTCATGTTCTATTATATCATTTATTGAAATAAAATTAAAATTAAAAATTTATTTTAAAAAAACATAGTTAGTATATATTTATACTGTCTATTAGAATAAAGTTAAAAAATTAAATAACGAATCAAACTGTAATAGACACAATATCTTTTAAATTTAATTGAGATAGTTTGATATTTTAATTTAGTTGTTTAAACGACTAAATTAAATTATAATAGACAATATAATTGTATACCAATTACAATTTTTTAAGAAAAAATTGATTTTTTATTTTTAATTTTATTTCAATAAATGATGCAATAAAACATGAATTTTGATTGTAAAATTTAAAATATTTTATATTTTATATTTGATTAAAGTATTTTTGGCCTAAGGACAATATTTTAAATTTAAAGGATTTAAGTATCACATACCCATAAATTTCAAGAGGTCTAAGTATAATTTATAAACGGATATATTTACAACGGGGTCTAAGTGTTATGCTCAAACAAATTTTAAGGATCTGTTTATAATATATTAAATATTAAGGAATTTGAATGATTAAATCATAGGGTCTGGGTTTAATTCTTCTTAAATTTTTTTCAATCGGGTACAATTCACCTCTCCTGATTTCACTTCATTTCCGTGTTCCACTACGTTCGACTGAAATCGTCGGACATCGCTGGAAGAACTCTCTGTGTAGCGACTATGGCGGTCGATAGTATACCTCCTCTTATCGGAACACAGCTCAATTATCTGCTCAGTCACTCTCCTTCCGCCATCAAGGTAATAAACCTCGTACAACTTCTACTTAGGGTTCCTAAATTTCTCGGAAGGTCTCATTTTATACCTGTGACACCCTGATTTTTTTCAGGTTGAGCAGATTTGGTCTGGTTCTAAAAAACCTAGTTTGCTTGATCGCTTCACCTTAGTCATCCCCTTTTGCCTCGACTACATCAAATGTCAGTATATATAAACCCACGAACACACACTACAAAAATGTTGTGTTTTTCTTAGTGGATACTGTAATGTTTGGTGGCTTAAATGTAGGGGATGTTATATACAATGCAATGTATCCATTGGCGGCACCAGATATCATCTTTGGACCTGAGGATGTAAGCTTTCGTCCATTTCCTATGTTGGGTGAACAAGGGGATTCGAAGTCTGCGAAGAATAGTTTGTCTGATTGGAACCCCAAAGATCCAACTCGTCTGTTGTCCCTTATTCTTGAACTTAGGTTGGGGTATTTGTGTGTTTGCCTTTGCTTCCTCCTGCTTCTATTTATGCTAATGTATTATCTGAAAAGCTAGACTTATTAGTGAATAAGGTTATGGATTCTTTGGTTTCTAGGGAGTTGTATATGGCATATCAGAGGAAACGCGTTGGAGACGTTGATGATGATAGGTTGAAATTCGAAATTAGCACTATTTTTTCAAGAGAGGTAAACTTTTGGACTATTTTTCACTTTTAGATATTTTTTGAGAGAAGATGGAACACTGGTGTAAGGTTGAGCACTTAGTGATTGCTGATCATACATATCCAAAGTTTTTTTGATGTAATTTTTATTTATTTATTCTCTTCAGATGGGGCAGGGTTTGTAGTAGTTAGCACTATAAATGTCGCTTATCCTTGGATATTTCTGAGATTTTTGTTATTTACCAAAGAGTCGATTGTGTCTTAATTGTTTGTGAATTTCCTTCTTGTCTCATCTGATTTGAGGTTACACCAAGGGTTGAATTTTATACAATTGCCTTTCTTGTCCTTGGTTGCTCGTGTTTTTACACTGATTTCACAGCCTGATTTCTCATAAAAGTTGATCTCTGCCATTTCTTTTGTCTATAATATATACTTAGAGAGTATGTTTCTATTGATATTATTCTCATTTTGTTTGTATTGCAAGGATAGATTATCATTTAGACCTTTATCATCTTGCAGGGCATTGAAATGCATATGAGCTCAGGCGTTGACAAGGTATTTCTCTACAACTAGCATGCTTGCATTTAACTAAATAGTTTTTTGACTCATCTGCTGAAGTGTCATCTGACCAACCCTTGTAAGAAAGGTGTAAACTACTATATGTTTTGACTGTGTTAGTGGTTTCTTTGCCATTGAACTGTAGTGTAGACAGAAGAGGTAAAGTTTGCTGTGCCTTTACTGGACATGGACATAAGTAAAATGATCATCGGATGCTCTTGGCGACATCAACAGAAGATATACTTACAGGTTAGTTTTCCCATAACATTGGACTGGAAACAAAATTTTCTGCCTCTGTGGACGCATATCCACAGATATGTAAGAAAATTAAGTAATGATATGAAGAGAAGATAAGATGCTTCGAGGAAAACCCAACTTTCTTTCTTCTGAATTAGCCACTGTGAATCGTTCAAAGGGGAAAATGGAGGGAGAAATTAGAACAAAATTAAGGAAGTAAGAATCGTTGTAGTGTAATGGAAAATGGAAATGGAAAGCATGTATCGGTTGATACCGATATGAGTCGGCCAAGTTGGCACATTCCGAGACGATATTGTTACATGATACGTATAACCCCAAGTCTCGGCCGAGTCGTCCAAGTTGTATCCGAGTCAAACTCGAGTTGTCAAGTTATTGTCAACGAATTAGCCGATATGAGTCGGCGACGCCGCGGTATGACCTGAAGATCAACATTTTTTTTTAGGTCGTATCGCCCGATACCGCGGCGCGACTGATGTGTCTCAGACCTTTTACCATGGTGGAAAGCCTTCTCCTTGAGGTTTTTTGTCTGTTGTTTCTCTATCTTAGTCTTTTTTATAGAAAAAAATGTGAAAGTGAAAAATTTTGCTCGGATTTATATATTTTTTCTTCAATTCAGTAGAAGGAAAGCTTTATGAGCATAATTATCAATAAAAGCCTAATCCTCCTTTGCTTAGCCTGTGAGTACTTTGCCAGTCACGAGATTTTATTTCAATTGAAGAACGGAGACATTTGTTTCTCCTTTGATATCTTTAAAGTATGAAATAACATTGTAATATGTCAAAATACTTGACTTGTCGACTTTTCTTCCATCGTTGTACTGTCCTCATAGCTACACACAAATCCTTTGGTCATTCTTGGTACTTTTTCTTTTCTGCATTTCACTTCCCTGTTTCACTTAAGTGGATTCCCTAATGGATGCAGGTTATATTTCCTGTCGGTAGAAAATATTCAGCTCCCCCTTCAGCCCCACGTTTAAAATTGGTTTCTTCTCCTGACTTGAAGGCTCTGTTTTCCATTGAAGATTTCAGACTTCCTCCATGGTTGGATGGAATGTAAGTTATGATTATTTTTTTGCCTTCACACAGCATGTAACTTCCCCTGCCCCTGTTTTCCTTTTTTATTGTGCTGGTTGATTGTGTTGATCTTCATCATTTTTTGTTTCTTTTCCTACAAAGGTGCATGGCTGAATATCTTCCCAGTTTAGAAGAGATGCTTGAGTCTCAGGTCAGCTGCTTTCTAAATAAAGTTTGATCACCTACTTTCGAATTCTCAACTTGAGATACATTCGAGCAAATGTCACATGAATAAAAATTCATGTCTGCAGTTTTATTAAATATTTTTTCCAATTTTTTTTCTTACAATGATTTTCTGCAGATTAGAGATGCAGTTTCATCTATTGAAGTTAGAAGGAAGTTTATTATGGCACTACCTCCTCATTTTGGAAGGCCAGTGGAAGCTGATCCAGTATGCATACTTTACTTTTACTTAACTGAATGTTTGAATGGACAGTCAAACAAGATTTAAAGCTCTCCTTGCATTGCTTGCCAGGTTTTTTGCAGAAAGGCAACATTTCTAGCTGCCTCTGGGGTGTTCATATTTCTGGTATGATATAGTCCTGATTACTCTGCAAAAAAATTAGGGTTCCATCTTATTATTTAACCGACTCCTAGCTTTACCTTACCTAGCTATCTAATAGTGAGGATTTAATGTAAAGAACATATTAAATGAGAGTAACACAACACTACCTGGCACTCTTGGGTGTATAATGAGGACCGAGGAGTTCTGATTTCTTTTTAGTTAGCATGTCCAGCAAATTGGGGTTACATATCTTGTTCGTCCAATAATTTGCTTCTATGCCATATGCCATTGAATTGTTAATACAATGTGATTTCCACTGCACTAGTTTGAATTTGACACTACAGAATTCTGGACCAAATCCATGTAGTCACTTGTTTGAGCACTGGAAAAGAGCCACTCAGCACAAATTCAAGTGTTATGTGTGTACATGCATACAGATGAACAAGCACGCACGTCCATATTTTGATTTAAACAGATAATAATATTATATTTCATCAGTTATACGATAAAACAGCATGTGATGCTTCAGGAAATGAGATAAGTTGAAGAGAGAAAAACATGAAATGAATTTCTACACGAGTACCTGAGTTACATTATGCCAATGGCTTGTGTATGTTCTACATTTACATTCACCTAGTTTATGCCATAGGTTTTTTTGTTTCATTCTGTTAATGGAAACTCCCATGATGGTCTTATAATGACTGTTGTCATTGGAAGTGGGCTTAATATTTTTGTTATGCTTTTAAATCCTTTAGGTACTGTAGTGGTTTTGCATTTACTAGACTTCCAACACCTAGGATCGTTGTTAAAGCTAAAAATATGTAAATGCTGAAAGTGTTTTGAAAGTTTTCTGAAATCAGAGGCTTCTCAAAGGCATAAGAAATTCTTTGAGCTCATTAAGAACATTTTTGTCTTGTTTATAGGTTGTATCCCCATAACCAGCTTTTGATAAGTTTTTCCCTTTTCTCTATGCTTCTTTTTTGTAGAGTTTTGTTGAACTCTTCTTTCGTACCCTATGCCCTTTGTCGTAGCTAATCTCTTACTTGTAAATGCATGTTGTAGGTGCATTTTTCCCTTCCACTTCAGTTCCCAAAGCAACGACCTGTTCTGATGCTTCAAAGTTCTCAGGTAACAATTTTTTTTTCCTAGACATGGATACTTACATGTGGGTGTGCCCATGGGTGTATGTGTGCTTATATGTTGGTTTAGAAAATTTCAGAGATATATGTGTAATTGTATGTTGATTAAGTAAAAATTAAGAGGTCTATATGCATGTCGTACAGAGAGTTTGTTCCTTTGTAAGGTTAGACCCTATGAGAAAGTGGGTCACAAGAATAAAGGATGGAAGGTGAAAATCAAAAGGCAGCCTGAAGTAGTTGTGTATTTTTTTTTTTTTTTTTGTTGGGGGAAAGGAGAGGGGAGCGTTAAGGAGGGAGAGACAGAGAGAGAGAGTAGGAGTTTCATGGGCCGTTGTAATTTCTGTGATCTCTGTGAGAAGGTTCAGCGGGATTTCTGATACTGGTTCTACATGCAGCAAGGAGAAAGCGTAATAAATAGTTTGACAGAAAGGACAAGCCTCAGACGATGAGCTCAGTGCGAAATTCTGGGGTATGTATTGCTGTGGTGGTTAAAGCACACCCGATTATCACAACCTTGGAAGATATAAAATTGAATGAGTTCTATATCCAAGCTGTTCAAACACCCTTGTGAAGCTCTTTGAAGAGGCAGTGCATATGTTATGTCCTAGAGAAGTATTTTGCTTTCTGAGCCTTACATGCATGCAGAGTCTTCTAGGATATCTTATTTGCCTGGGCATGCCATTGTACCATGCTATGGGTTGGGTATGGCACCTTGGTTATCCCTCGGTCCGGTCATCATACTATGTACATGTGGTGTTTCTGATTTAAGAGCCATGAGATAGTCAATGGTCGCATTACTTCATTGTACAGTGTATCCTTTGGCCCTTCTTAAGGTGTGTTTGAGGAGTAATCATGATTAGGTTGGGGCTATGATCTTCAAGAGCTAGGTAAGTAAGCAAGGAGAGGCAAGGGGCTCTCATCATAGACGGGAAATGATTGGGGACAAACCACTATGAGGAGAGTGCTACAGCCAGAGACCTATGGTCAGAGACAAACTATAGAGAAACGAAGGGCCGCATTGCCTAGTATGTGGGTTATTCTTGGGGGCCCTCACTCCCAAGGGGTATTCCATGGGCTGCAGGTGAGGATGTGGGTACAAGCCGTTCGAGGGATTTGTCCAGGCAACCCTTAGATTGCCTTTGGAGAAAGAGGTCAGAGCCATCATCTTGAGCTTGCTCCTATTTCCTCAGGAAAGAGTAACTGTTGATGTTGTTTTGAGTTACGTTTGTATCCCTTCAATTGTGAATTAGAGAGAATTTAAGTGACTTAACTTCAAGATGGTTTAAAAAACATAGGCAGTGTGCTATGAGAGGAAAACAATGAACTTATTAGGTTAGCTTGTAGCAAAGACGAGTTGCAGATATGAATAACTTGGTTCTCATCAGTAGGCTTCACGCTTACTCCCAAATTCTAGACCAGCAGCCATTGTGGTTAATACCATTATTCTTTGGTTTGGGTTTTGGGGGTTTTGTTTTTTCGTTTTTCGGGGGGTGGGGGGGGTGGGGTTGGTATTAGTGCAGCATCTCTTTTTATGTTTCCATGATATTGCTTAGTGTGAAGTAGTCACTAACTATTCTTCCTTTACTGAACAAACTTGTCCTTTTTTTAAAAAAAAAAAACAAAATAGCATTTCAGCTCCCATGGTGCACCCATCAAGTCATCTCTGCTGAATGAATATCCATGGAGTCCTAGATGGGAAGCATCAGAAATGGCCGAGCGGATCTTGTGAGTTTCTCAAAAAAAAAAAAACATTGCGGCTCTGGTTTGATTTTTCCATGCCTAATTTTTGTGCTGCAAATTATTTTTGGCAGCAATTTTCTGGTAGAAGAATGTTTGAGCTTCAAGAAGTATTGCAATGAGAATATTGTTCAGCAACGCTAGTGTGATCTCGCAAGGTTTGTAATCTTGTCGATTTGATGCACTAATATGTGCATCACGTAGAATGAATCTCTTGTATGACCTTTCGGTATTAGTGTCGATTGCTGCTGCATTAGGTCTGGTTTGTGTCTAACGAGGCATAGTATTGGAAATTTGGCTCTCTTTTTACCACGGCGTTATTGTCTTTAAAGCCTAATCAAATCAAACACAGGTTCTGCTCGACACTAGTTTGAAATGCTTTTGTAATATGATGAAAATATTCAAGTGTATTTCTCATTTGTTTGCTATATAATCGCATATATTCAATGTTCTTTCTTCCGGAAAATATTATTTGGATTTAAAATGTTAACCTAATCAATTATGCGGGTCTTAGGATTTGTTTAGACTTATTATTAATTCAAGGAGAATTTTTAGTTATACTCTTTCTAGTTTATCATATTTTCAAAGATGCCTTGCCTGCTCTATTTTTTGAATTTTCACTAGTACCTTCTATCACATTAAAAGTGTTAACTAGAATAAAATTTTATTAAATTGTCCAAGATATATTTTAGGAAAAATTATATTCACACCCTTTCTAGATAGACATATTTTCAATAAGATTTTTTTTATTTTTTAAATGTTTTTATGTATTAAAATTTGGGTAGATTAAAATTTATTAATTTTTTGTATTAAAATTTGAATTGATTAAAAATTATGTTTTTTTACGTCTTAAAATATGAATTTTGCTAGATAAAAAAATATAAATTTTAATCAACTTAAATTTTAATATGTAAAAAATAAATTTGAATTAACTTGAATTGAATTTTAATAAATAAAAGAATATAAATTTTAATTGACTTGAAGTGAATTTTAATCGGGATTAAAAGTTGAAGTGGAGTTCAAATTGGATTGAATTGTAATGCGTAAAAAAAACTTTTAATAAGTTTTAATTTTAATACATTAAATATATAAAATTTAGTCATTTTAAATTGAATTTTAATTGACTCAAATTTTAATATATACAAAAGAAAATTTTAATATGTAGAAAAATAAATTTTAATCAATTTTAATTGTAATCAAATTTTTTATAAAAGAATTATTTAGGATTTATATAAGGATAATTTTGATATTTTAAATAATTTATTTTTATTATAAATAGTTGTTTAATAACAAGGGATGTCAGTGATGTTTAAATATTCTTGAAGATATAATAAACTAAAAAGAGTGTGGTTGAAATTTTTCTTTGATTCAATAATTGTGGTTAATTAGGTCAGCGAATCATGACTATCGAAATATCATTGATCTTTGGCTTATCTCTACTTAGGTTAGTTGGATTTTTTTTTTTTTAATTATCTCGTAATATTATAATGCAATTCTGCATAAACAAATATTAAACTGTCCTAGCTGACCTTTTGTGTCAGTGTTTGAACTTAAAAATATAAATTTAAAAAATATTCAATGAAATTCTTTTAACTGAATTAATAAAAGAATTTTTTTTTTATTAATTTCTTATACTGCATATTTTTGTACATTAAAATTCATTCAAAAAAAAAAAAATCCTAAAATAGGCATTAAAACCTCTCATAAACAGGGCTTGAGAATTGTCCATTAAATAATTATTTTAGTTAGACCAAGCCCTTATTAAACATAGGGGTGTGGACAAATTCATTGGTGGGACAAATCTCATGTTTGCACATTTTTTATTGGAAAGGGTGTTGTTGACGCTATTTTTCACAAAAACGGGTTGTTGACTCTATTTTATCTTCTTTTAAATTTGAATTTTTTCATTAGTGAGGTTTATATAAAATTAAATTATTATTATTATTATTTTTTTAAAATTTAGGTAAGAGTTTTGATTTGTATTGGAAATGGTATTAATGTCAAACGACACAAATAGAAGATGACATAAATAGCCTTTCGACCCAGCAGCCAAGCCAATAAAACAACTGTAAAAAACGTGAAAACCAGCTCGGATAAATTAAACCGGCTTACAGGATACCGAAAGATATGCGCCTAGCAAAGAAAGATCGGTGGCCACGTGGATGTCCAGCGGTTATGTCCGTATCGCCCCCATCCATCACATGCATTGCCTCTTCAAATTATATCATCGCAAACCTCCCTCCCTCCCTCCCAATCCATTCACATTCACATTCACATTCACACACACCTCACCCCTCTTTCTCTCTCTCTCTAACCAGATTTCTCTGTCACCATTTCCATTAGAACAAAACAGATCTAAATCTGAACTTTGAGATTCAACAATGAGAGAGATCTTACATGTTCAAGGAGGGCAATGTGGCAATCAGATTGGATCCAAATTTTGGGAAGTGATATGCGACGAGCATGGCGTTGATCCAACCGGTCGTTACAAGGGCGATGGGTCGTCCGATCTTCAATTGGAGAGGATCAACGTCTATTACAATGAGGCTTCTGGTGGACGATACGTTCCAAGGGCAGTTCTTATGGATCTTGAACCTGGGACCATGGACAGCATCAGATCTGGCCCCTACGGCCAGATTTTCCGCCCCGATAACTTCGTCTTTGGACAGTCCGGCGCCGGAAATAATTGGGCCAAAGGTCATTATACTGAGGGAGCGGAACTGATCGATGCTGTTCTTGATGTTGTTCGCAAGGAGGCAGAGAATTGTGACTGCTTGCAAGGTACCTATTTGTTTAAATCCTCATTTTCACATACAGACACGTATGTTCATTTGTTTAGTGTGTGTGTCTGTGTATCTGTGCAATGTGCCTTGATTTGGTTCAGAAATCGTTTTGTCGATTTATTTACCTGATGTTTTATTAGATCTTTTGATCCTCTGTTATGTTATACGAGTTGCGATGCGAACGTTTGTAGAAAGAGTTTTGTGGATCTGCTTTTGCTTCGTTTGAATTTTGTCACATTATGATTGTATTGGATTTGTTAAATTATACTCGATACGTATAATGGTGTGCGTGTATGATATATAACAATTTTTGTTTGGTTTGAACCTGTTCTGGTAAATATTTGACAGGTGTGTTAAGAGATTTCCTTTTCGGAAGGGCTAAATGGAATGTGCGATAACTCACTTGAAAATTTGCCAGTAAAAAGAGATCGTGTTTGTTCTGTGTTCATGGAGATTGAGTACACTATTTTATGGGTTATGGATATTTCCCAAATAGTGAAGGTTTGTGTTTGCTTTTTTGGTGGGTGATCTACTTTAACTTTAACTTTTACTGTTAATAAGGTTTTCCAAAAAGCGCTGGCCGTCTGAGAATTCCCCTATACTTTTTGTTTGTCCTTAGTATGATTATTTTGTCACAAGAGTCAAGAATTTGAAGCATGGATGACAATTCTGGAGAGGTGCATAATCACTATGCTCTTGTGGGATTGTCCCTTTCTGACTTTTTGTGGGTGTTGTGGAATTGATTTCTCCTACATAAGTTCTTGTTTTCAGATCTGACTTTTACAGTAATGATTATTTTTCTGGTTTGTAATTATAATGATGTTTCATGTTTGTTGTAGATCTGGCTCTGGCTTTTGGAGCCAGACTTGTGATTGGAAAGTTATATATTTTTTTTATTTTGTTGTGTAGTTTTTGTAGCTGACCAGTGTTGGTGTGCTAAATTATGATGTTGATCAGATTGGGTCCCATTATGCATTATTAGTAGGTTCCCTTTTGTCCTAAAGTGGAGACATTTAAGTAGATAAGGGTCATATTCTTCATTCTTGAATGTATAAGTTACTCAAAAATTATTTTGGCACCATTATATTGTTCTGTTTGTGATTTGCCCAAGGATTTGACGTTTGTGGATAATTTAGGGTAGGAGAAATTTCAAGTTCATTCATGGAGTCCAGGTATCCTTTTTATTGTGAAAAACAGCTCCCAATATTGTTCTTTTGTGCATCTGACAGGACCACCAACCTTGTGGGAGAAGAGTTAATTATAGCATCAGACTATGAAATAAATGAACTTTTGTCAGGCCAGGCCTAAAATAACTGTTCCTTCGTAAAGAAACTAATAGAGAGACAGAACGAGATGAGAGAGAGAAGAAGAGAGGAGAGAGAATTATCAGCAATTTCTTTTTAGGATGGAGGGTAGCACTTGGCATTACTGTGAATCAGTTTGTGCTTTCAATGAGTGTTCATCTAGGACCAAAATGAGTGGGACTTATACTTTAGAATGACAGTTCATGTCTTTCTTTTTTTCATATTTATAACATTGTCTCCTTTACTATCAAAAAAAGAAAACAAGAATTACAGTTCATGTCTTTTTCATTTTCGGGCTAATGTGAATGCTGTGGCTCCTATTGCTCCGCTATATGGAACAGGTTTTCAGGTGTGCCATTCACTTGGAGGAGGCACAGGTTCGGGCATGGGTACCCTTTTGATTTCAAAGATAAGGGAGGAATACCCAGACAGAATGCTGCTCACATTCTCTGTCTTCCCTTCACCAAAGGTTTCCGACACAGTTGTGGAACCTTACAATGCCACCCTCTCGGTGCATCAGTTGGTAGAGAATGCTGACGAATGCATGGTCCTTGACAATGAAGCACTCTATGACATTTGTTTCAGGACCTTAAAGCTCAGCACTCCAAGCTGTGAGTATATATTTACTACCTGGTTAAGTGTTGTTAGATGGGAGCAAACCTTTAATTTCGTATCTTTGGTGTGCAGTTGGTGATTTGAATCATTTAATCTCTGCAACTATGAGTGGCGTAACATGCTGCCTGAGATTCCCTGGTCAGTTGAACTCAGATCTGCGGAAGCTGGCTGTGAACCTGATCCCATTCCCACGTCTTCATTTTTTCATGGTGGGTTTTGCACCACTCACCTCCCGTGGATCACAGCAATATATCTCCCTCACTGTCCCAGAGCTGACTCAGCAAATGTGGGATGCGAAGAACATGATGTGTGCGGCTGATCCCCGTCACGGACGCTACCTGACAGCCTCAGCGATGTTCAGGGGGAAAATGAGCACAAAAGAGGTTGATGAACAGATGATCAACGTGCAGAATAAGAACTCATCATACTTTGTGGAGTGGATCCCCAACAATGTGAAGTCAAGTGTGTGTGATATTCCACCAACTGGTCTCAAGATGGCATCCACATTTGTGGGAAATTCCACTTCAATCCAAGAGATGTTCAGGAGAGTAAGCGAGCAGTTCACGGCCATGTTTAGGCGCAAGGCCTTTTTGCATTGGTATACTGGGGAGGGGATGGATGAAATGGAGTTCACAGAGGCAGAGAGCAACATGAATGATCTGGTGGCAGAGTACCAGCAATATCAGGATGCCACTGCCGATGAGGATGAGGAAGACTATGAAGAGGGTGTTGAAGAGAATTATGAGAACTAAACGTATATTGACAATTACTCAAGAAGGAAGTAACATTTGTTGTGGAAGTATTGTTGGTTTGCTTTTCTCTCTATATTTTCCCTTTATGAACTTTGAGCTTTTATTTGTTTGGCATTGTTTGAGTCTTCTGTTTCTTAATATGACATTGGTGCTTGTTCGACCGAAGCATTTGAATAAGAAGATTTCAGTTCTACTACTTTTCCTGCGGTTAGGTGAAAAAGGAGAGAGGGGGGGGGGGTGTCGTGCACGTAATTTTCTTTCAGAATACGAACTTTTAATGATTCTAGTCGGAGGTTGGGATGCCTAGTTTCAATTTATAACAATTTTTTGGTTGCAAACAATAACTGGATGTGGTTAGTGGTCTAAAAAATATACAATTGCTAAAAAAAAATTATTTCCTGAACTAGTAATTTTTGAATTATTTTACAATTAAATGGTTGCTTACTTGGTTTTGCCATAATCTGGATCAATTAGATTTACTTTTTTCTTTAGAAAGGTTATTAGTCCTGCAATTTTTAGTTTACAATCGACACAAATATGACCTCAAAACATTATAATTTGACTTGATGGATGAGGATCTTCTGTTGTTAGAAAATCAACACCAGAGGTGCTGTTAAATAAAACAGTGTTATTTTGCATCAAAGCGACACTATTTTATTAAATAAACGATATCATTGTAATGCAAAATAACGTTTTAATCAACAGTACTTCTGCCATTAAGACCCGCCCAACATATGCTAACTATCTACCATCTAACCTAAAAGCTTCATCAATAATCCCCCTTTAGGTTGGAAATATAACCTTCTTATTCCAGTCGATCCCAATATTATTTTGAAGCTAACCTGCTTGTAAAGACTATGAAGGCAGTGGAGAGAACTATTTTATTGGTCCAACAAAACCCAAACATGCCCAAAATCTCTCAAACCATCTACTATCCATCCCCACCAACCTCCAGCAAATTGAGAATCTCAACTTTTTATTTCAAGTGATCAAATATTTAAACATTAGAGACACATATCAGGCAAAAATATCTCTAATTTACACTTCAGATACCTCTAAGCTTAAGCTAATTGGTAATTTGAATATCATTAAACAAAATTCATTTGAAGAGTTATTAGTTGAGAGAGAGAGAGAGAGAGAAAAAAAACAAAACAGCCATAATTATCTGCACTGTGGTGGTCTTGCAGCGTCAAAAGAAGTCGTCTTCGTCCCTTTGAATTTGTTCTTGATCATTCTACTCCTCCTAGCTTCGGCAGCTTTGGCCCTGATATCTGCAAGAACTCTGTTCAGATCCAACGGCTGGGAAGATCTGATCCCCATAGTCTCCTCTGCTGAGACGTTGAGATCAGGAATACCTGGTGGGCCAGCATGGTCGGACCAGTGTAATCCACTGTTGGGTGTCAACAATGGTGCAATTTGCAATTTGACCCAGTCTAAACCACTCTCGCTTTTTTGTGATGCAAAAGCCTTCTGATCCGTGATGTACGGCCGTTGAAGTATCACAGTTGGAATTTGATAAGGTTGGTTTTCATATTCAACTCTGTATGAGGAGGAGGGCTGGCCTAGTTCTCTTCCAAAATTCAATCTTTTGTTTATTTCCAAATGAGGTGTTTCTTTTTTAAGGCAAGAACTTAGCTGTACCAAAAAAAATAAAAAAGGAAATATTTTAAGTAAATATATAAGACCCACATAAAAGTTAGGATTAATAATATTTTTAGTCTTTTAAATATATATTTATTGTCAATTTAATCCTTATTATATTAATTTTGTCTTAAAATATTCAATTCGCGTTATTTTAATTCCTAATCAGACAATTTATCAAATTTTTTAGTCTATTTAGGAGTTAAAATGATACGAATTAAATATATTATAGACTAAATTAATACACGAAGAACTAAACTGCCTTTAACCCTAAAAGTTACCATGAGGAATAAAAAAACACAAAAAGAACAAATGCTTATCATCAGCTATGGGATAAACAGTACCTCTTGTTTCTTTGCTTTCAACTCCACATTGGTAGCCTTCAGCTTATTGTAGTAATTCCTCACCGTCTCTACCTCCTGAAAGTTGAAACACATTTAGAGACTATTTTGGGTTTTACCAATTCAATTAGGAAAATTTAATGAGGAACAAGAAGAAAGAAAATAATGTGGGACAGAGACTTTAGGGTTTTTTTTTTTTTTGAGGGGAGGGGGGGAATTCAAGAAAAAGACAAAATACAATATCAAAAATTTACAAACTCACCCCTTTCAGTAATTCTCTGCGCTGAGTCAATCCATCTATAATTTCCAACCACTCCTCTCTCGACTGCAAGATTGGCAAGAAAAATCACGGTGTGAAAAAACGTGTATACAGATGAACCAGAGCCCAAACAGGGAAGACCTTAAAGCCTCAAAGCAAGCTATGAAAACTGATTGACAGACAAATCAGCGGTTAGAACTGTAAGAAAAACGAAAGACCTGAACCAAAAATCAAAACACAAGGAGAGAGGCCTTACAAGTGAATCGATAATGCCTAAACAAAAAGAAAGTCAAGATATAGAAGAGAAAAGAAAATACCCTTTTCTTGGAGTTTTTCCTAGGGGCCTTCTTGGACTTCTCATCCGATTCACTGGGAGAGAAAGAGAGAGGAGTAACAGGACTTGTGGACTCAACCTTGACTTCAGGTCCTCTCTCTAATTCATTCTGAACCAGACTAGTCCTCTGCAGCGATGGCGATGGTGATGACCGAATACGGGAAGGAGACGTGCCTGAAGCAGTTCCTGAATCTATAACAGATCTCTTTCTCGTGGTACCCCAAGTGAATCGTTGTCGATTGCGAGACTCGGATTCGGCTATTAGACTCGGAAGATTAAGTATGATATCGGCGACCTCAATCTCATACTCACTAAAGGAGGAAGACAGAGAGCTCTGGCTATCTTCGCTTGTGCTCTCTTTCATTGTTTCTCTTTCTCCCCCTCTAAAACGCTTGTGTTCAATCAAATCTTCATATGCAGAACGGAGTTGCAAAGAATAGATAGATATAGAGAAAGAGCAGAGAATATAGAGGATATGTGAGAGAGAGAGAGAGACAGAGACAGAGAGAGAGAGAGAGAGAGAGAGAGAGGGGGGGGGGGGGTTCTGGTTTCTGGGAGCAGAGGAGTTCGTTGCCTAATAAGGGAAATCCAAGGAGAGAGAGTGGCTGATGACACGTGCCACGAAAATAGAGATGGAGAGTTGTCTAGGGTTTATTGTCTTCGATATGGTGAGCCCTCCGTTCCTGAACGAGCATTCATCCTTTCGCCTACTGCCTAATTTTTTATGAGTGAATTGACACTCTGAATATGATAAAATATATATATGGTCAAAAAAGAAAACAAAAAAAGAAAAATTGACACTTTGAATACTAAAAAAAATACTTAAATTCTCAATTTATTACTTAAAAGATTCAAAATCTCACATTATTCTCTTAATCAAATAAAAAAGTAACAATATAATTCAAAATTAAATATTGGTTGCCTTGTTCGATAAATTTTTTTGTTATATATTTTTATTTTTATATACAACTGTTTGTACATTATTTAATTTTATTCATTTTATGTGAAAATTTTGTGCTTAATTTCATTAAAATTGACAATATTGTTATATATTTATTATAATATCAAACTTTTAATGCGCCTTTTTTGTGGAATTTTAAGCTGCAAGAGATTTTAGTTCTGGTTAAAGTTGTTGAGTATAATCAATCAAAGCCGAAGATAGATTTAGATAGTTTGTCTGTCAAGTCGATAGGTGAGAGGCCAAAGAATGGAACGTGCAAAGTCGATCATTGCCCTTAGATGCATGACAACGACTCGGTATTCTTACTATAAAGTTCCCAAGATATTGGCGTTGGTGATAAAACAGAGCCTTATAAAAGGGGTTACAATTCTATCCTCCATAATGTAAGTGTCGTCCCTGATAAATTCGAATTTTGTCACTTTTTGTCTCGGGGCAATTGTCACCGACGGTATCTTTTCAAAGTATAAATTACGAATTAACAAAAATTTTGGATACAAAATATCATTTGCCCTTTTTAAATTCACTCTTATAGTTTGTTTGAATAATTTTTGGGACAGGAATTTGATTGATTTTCTCAAATTCTTCTAAACCCAACCCCTATTTTTGTTTCCATGGAATTTATTGAAAAATCTAATTCATACCCGTATTTGGTATGTAACCTATCACCATTATTATCATATATTTGTGTTATAAATGACAATATTACCTATCGACTAATTTAATTCATACTCGTGTGTTGTTTAACTCGGGAATATAAATAACATTTGTCTTACTAATTTGGGTATAACTTGACTAGAACCCACCCCCTCTCACATGAGTTTGATTAAACCTACGTTTAAGGGTTTAAGGTGTCGGACCAACTATGGGTTGAGATCAATTTCCATGGCTTGAAAAAGTCATTCAAACAAGGGTTTTGAGAGTCCATTAGACTATTTTTCTTAAACTCATTTTGTCAAACCCCCCTACTCACTTACAAAAAAGCCCATTAGAGCATCTCTAAATGTGCTTTTCAAAATAGTTAGTTAAAATATTATGGGTAATTTATGTCTAAAGCCACGATGCAATGTAAATAGTTTTGACAAAAATGTTGATGATTGTTGAATTAATCTATTTGAAACTGTTGGATGAGGAGTCTATTTGAGATGGTCGAATGAACTTATTGAAACATGTCATGTTTTATATTATAAATTACATTCTTTATTTTAAAAATTCATTTTTTCAAAATTATTCTAACCATACTCCTTATTTTAACTGACTATTATTAATATTTTAAGTCAAAAATATTGTATAACTTAACATGTCATCAAAATATAAAATAGTTAGTTCCTTCGAGTGCCAAAAAAAAAAAAAGATTTGGCTCTTCAAATGTTAAAATAACTAGCTAGAGAGACCCTCTAAATATAGAGAGTCATTTAAACCAAAGATAAAATAGCTAACCCCTTAAAGTAAAATTTTATAAATTATATCTTTATTTTAACTAACAAATATAAAATGACTAACCCTTTGAGATACTCTTAAAGATTTAAAGGGTACTTAGTAATTGGATCGACTGTAGTTAACATAAATCTTTTGTCATTTCACGCGCATCTTCGAAGGGGTGGTAATGCACGCACCCCTTTTATTATAATTTTGGGCATGTGGAAATAAAGCACATTGGCAAATATGTTGAATATCTTCATCGTACAGGTACATGTATTCTGGCTCCTTAAACTGTACTCCTAATTACTCGATAAAGAAGTAATGACAAAAGGTAATCATTTGAACATTCCAAATTGTTTTCATCCTTTTTTTAAGTAATTAGTAATTGCTCGTGTCTAAAAGCAGTGCGTAACAAAAATTAGATTAAAATTCAAAAAATATTATATCACCTAAAGACTCGTTGTAACTTAAAATAACTTACAATTAGACATAACAATTATCATAATTTATTATACCACCACAATAATTAATACATACTCAATCTCAACACATATTCAGCCACCAAAACATCAAGCTAGTCCTACTAATTTCAAGAAATTTTGGCAGAGTTTCCTTGAAAAATAGATCTCCAGAAAAATCTAAACATGTTTACAAAACTTACAATCATTATAATACACTATATCACCACAATCATCACTACATATCCAAACCACCAAAACAACCATCATTCCATACCCAAAATCGTAATAACCATGTATAATTAGTTAACTTTACAAAAGACGGAACACAAAAAATACACACATGCACAAAATAGAGAAACAACTTCGTATTCTTTACAACTTATACCAAGTATCTTTTAATGTATACCTGAAAATATTTGAAATATATAATTATCAAAATATCTGAGTCAAAATAAAATATTTGTAAATCCGAAACATATGACCCCTTACTTTTTTCGTTAGTTGGATTCAATATAATTAATTACATTACCCTGAGTTATTGGATTCAAAAAAATAAATGAGCACACACATTTGTATGTAGTGGAGGGAAAGAATGATTTAGATTGATATAAGTAAGAATTTAGAGAGATTGTAACAAATTATCAATTTATTTAGGAAAAGATATGGAGGAATGTAGAGACTTACAATCAAATAAGGTTTTCTTAGTACCATTTCAACAAACGGGTCATTTGCTTAATGATTTCAATCATAAATCTGTATTGGTGGCAGTATAATAGTGTATGAGTTTGATTTGCGAATGTTGATTGGTTACAGTTATGTGTGTGTGTTTGTGCATGTATTGTGTATGTTGTGTGTCTGCATAAGAAGTAGAGAAATATAGAGAGTCTTAGTAAGAGAGACTATCACACCTAGACAATTGTTTGGTTAGTGGTGGGTTAGTCATCGTCAAAGGTGGACATGTCAGTACTGAATTGCATATCATTTAACTCTCTTAAATGTCTTCTTCATCCCTTTAAACCTTCTCTTCATCACTATCCTTAATGTCCTCGTATTAATACAAACGCACTTTGCCCAAAGAGAAGAATGCACAATCACCTACATTATTCACATAAACAATAAAATTAACACAATATTTATATTGTAGGAATAGTAAAGTTATTTTGATGCAGTGACATAAAGTAGATTTACCTGATTACATCGGTCTCATCCACAAAGGTCCATTATATATACTCTATCGTTCTCGTTGACAAATTCACTCAAATCCTACAAAGAATGAACATNGTAGATTTACCTGATTACGTCGGCCCCATCCACAAAGGTCCATTGTATATACACTATCGTTCTCGTTGACAAATTCACTCCAATCCTATAAAGAATGAATCTCATTGTAAAACTAAAAGTTGAAATGATGAAAAGATTACATAATTCAGTAGAAATAAATTTGTTTAAACTATACCATTTACTTGTCGTAAGAATCTTATAACAACACTTCTGGGTAAACAATATTTGTAGTGCAATTTGACATATCTTCTGGAAGGAGGATAGTAATACGATCCCAAGATGTGCATCTAGATAGTGCCACATAAAGATGTGCNAAAACTTCTGGGTAAACAATATTTGTAGTGCAATTCGACCCATCTTCTGGAAGGAGGACTGTAATACGATCTGAAGATGTGCATCTAGATAGTGCCACATAAAGGTGTCCATGACTAAAAACAGGTGTCCGCAAATCAATCCCAACGAACTTGACAGATTGTCCTTGGACTTTATTGATTATCATAGCATAAGTTAATCGGACAGGAAACTGACGTCTTGTCATTCGAAAAGGCAAGTCCAAAGATGTTGGTGTCAATGATATTTTCGGAATGAAGACTAAATTGCCAATTTTATCTCCATTTAATATCTGAGCTTTGATAACCCTTGAGGCACATTTAACAACCATCAATTGCGTGTCATTACAAATTCCATCTTTTTGTGCAATATTTTGTAACAACAATATTGGGCATCCAACTTTTAACTCCAATTTAAACGGTGGCAACCCTAAAGGATTTAGCGAGTTTAAGTACTCATTAGGATATCAATTCCTAATGGTACGGTCAAACTTATCACCTTTAGACATTTTATCTGCAACTAAAAAAGTAATTGTCTCTCCCGGAATAATATTCAGTGCTGCAACATTTATATCACTAACGTCGTCATTGCGAGCAGATAGAATTGTGCGTTCAATGAGAAAGGTTGGAGTCACTATACCAACCACATCCAATTGTGGATAGATTCTAAATATCAATTCATTTAGATTGTGACAGGTTTATTGTAGATGGAAGTTGCACAATTTCTTGTGGATTGGTCTCAATCTAAAAAATGAAAGTATAAGTAGTCACAAAGTGAGATTTAATTCAAAGCATGATGTTATAAAATTCAATTCAAGGTGGAATGAAATATTACCTCCATCAAGAATTGAGCAAAATTAGTATTTCGAACATCTGTGCGAATTAATCGCATGTTTAAACCCAGAGTCAAAACACATATATTTTTCCATAGCAAAGACCTAATGATGCACCCACAATTTGTTCGAGAACGCCTTTAGGAATAACAGACAATATTTGTCGAAAGTCTCCACCCAGGACAATAGTGATACCCCCAAAAGGTCTTTTATTGTCTCTGATATCTTGAAGGGTGCGATCGACTACCTCAACA